CATTCTGGCTATCCTCGTTGGAGGTAAATGCCACCTGTAAAACATCTTATACAAATTCTCTTTATATGCTATAGATATTGTCATTTTATAATTATGTGACCACAGTTTTTGCCATTTCTCTAAATCAATACCATAACCAAAAATTTTTCCCCACACTATCATTGATTCTTTAACTTGTTCTTCTTCTAGTTTTACTTCTAATAAATATCCATACAACTTTTTAATTACATGATCATCAGAGCCCATTAAAATCTTATCTAAATTCGTCAAAACCTTGTAAAAACCTTCTTGTTTGTGATCTTCTCGATACCTAGAAAATATTTGCATATATGAAAACCAGTCCATTTTACATCCCTGATCTTCTAATTCCTGCTTTAATTTAAGTTCACCCTTTTCATCCAATAATTCACTATACCTAATAATTTGGTCCCTTTTAAATATTGCTGGATATGAAAAAGCTTCAATTGTAGATACCCAGACTGGAATCTTCAAATAATGATATTTTTTGACCTTCTCCCAATTCAACCATAAAGCTTCAAGTATCTGATGTCTTCTAAAATACCCTTGTATTTTTGTTCCTTTATATCATAAAAAGGCAGGCCACCCCATCAACAAGTCATGTCCCTCCAAATTCAATAATCTGGTATTTCTCAAAGTTATCCATTCTTTAATCCACATTAAACTTCCAGCCTGGTAATACAATTCAAAATTAGGCAAACCAAAACCACCCCTAACTTTAGCGTCTTGTAACAACTTTAATTTTATTCTCGCCATTTTTCCCTGCCAAATATATTTCAATATCATTTTATTTAAATCTACAAAAAATTCCTTACCCAACTTAATTGGAATTGTCTGAAATAGGTACAAAATTCTAGGCACAATATTCATCTTAATAGTTGAGATCCTACCAATCAAAGATAACTGCACATTTCCCCATTTCATCAAATCTTGCCCTATCTGTTGTTTAAGCTTATTATAATTATTTTCCTTAAGTGCGCTACATTTTGGTGTTAAATATATCCCCAAATATTTTACTTTATTTGTAACCTGCATTTTTGAAGCCTCCATCAATTCCTCTTTTTGCTTTTTCAACATATTTTAGTCATTATCTTCATTTTATCTTTATTAATTTTCAAGCCAGCTACTTTCCCAAACTCTCCGATAGTTGCTATCAATTTATTTATTGTTATTAATGGTTCTTCAATAATAAAGACCAGGTCATGTGCAAAGGCTTGTAATTTGTATTCTTCTTTTTGTATTTTCATACCTTTTATCTCTTTTTCTTCTCTGATATTTCTGTTTAACACTTCTAGAATCAATATAAACAACAGTGGGGACAGCGGGCATCCTTGTCTAATACCTTTTTCTATCTCAATAGGATCAGTCAATTCTCCATTTATCATTATTTTTGCTGTCTGTTTAAAATATATGGCTTCAATTGCCTGGATGAATTTCCTACCAAAGCCCATCTTTTCCATTTGGAGTCTCATAAATCGCCAGTTTACATTGTCGAAAGCTTTTTGTGCATCTAAAAATTGCTTTTCAGGATGTGCTTAATAATACTCTAAGGCATCCAAAATTATTCTTATATTGTCTCTAATTTGTCTTTTTGGGAGGAATCCACTGATCAATTGTTCTCACTGTCAGGAAATTTCTCCTTTTTTCTAGGTTGGTTCTTTATTTATTTATTTATATTTATTTATTTATCTGTCAAACATATATAAGATAACAGATATAAGTATAAACATGATTATGAATACAGGATAAGGATACGAATAAATGGGGACAATAGGATAGGGGTGGTAGGCACGTTGGTGGGCTTATGCACGCCCCTTACAGACCTCTTAGAAATGGGGTGAGGTCAACAGTAGACAGTCTAAGGTTAAAGTTTTGGGGGTTTAGGGAAGAAACCACAGAGTCAGATAGTGCATTCCAGACATTGACCACTCTGTTGCTGAAGTTGTACCTTAAGTTTGTATCTATTGTGTGCTCGTGTATTATTGCAGTTGAAGCAGATAGTTCTGTGTACTCTGCTTAAGTCAGACCTTAAGGTTCTCTCCTTGATTAGTTTCCATCAATGTCCTTTTCTTCCTCCTTAGGAATCCCACTGGGTTAGCAGCCAACAAGGATGAGTGGGCACTCTATAATGCCACAGAGCAGAATTTCTTCCTTCTTAATACTGAGCCATTCCAGGAGAGGGTGAAAGAGCACTGTGATTTTTTAAAGAGCCATTTTTCAAAGGCTGAAGAGATACGTAAGTTCGGCTATTAGTTCTGCCTTTGGAAGGGAGTAGTGGTTGATGAAAAAGATGTTTTTAAAAATCATTTATATATCAAATATAGAGATCACCCATAAAAAATGATTTTATTTCATGTCTTTGCTGAAACATACTCATTTGATTTTGCACTGGGCAATTTTGTAATGCTAGTGATAAATTTTGTTGAGCAAGCATATTTCATGATGTCCCAAGAGTTGGGTCTCTAGTAATGTCCTCTAAGTAAGCCTTAGTTGCTCACATAAAGATAACAACAACAACAACAACAACAATAACGAATCCCAAAACATCTGGATCACCTCTTGACCACAATCGGCATTGACAAAATCCCTCTCAGTCAATTGCAAAAGGCAGCTTTACTTGGAACAGATTGCATCCTGCAATGATAACTTTAATACCATCAAAAAATATCTGCCCATCCCAGCTTTTTGGGAAGAACTGAGTAGGTGGACAAAAAATGTCAAATCCGGTCTAAACATCTGGCTGACCATGTGATAAACAATCATGTTTTGATATATATTTAATAAATATATATTATGCCACGAATCATGGAATCCTCAGAATCCTACTTCTAGATTCAGATTCTTTAGTGATAAGATGTACACCTTATATTGATATTTCATTTTTCTTTGTTCTGCAGACAAGTCTGAAGGTGATTCTGTTTCATCGGACTAGGAAGAAGACAGCAGGTAGGAATTCAGTGCTTGGTTATAGTAACAGCGTTCAAATAGGATCAAGTTGGATGATTTCAGAAGGGGACTAGACTTCTTTCTAAATCGTAGTTTCACATTGGCATTCCAAACAATTTTTAAGTAGCACTTTTATGGTTCAGCCTCGCTGTGTGAAATGGAAGCTCTCCAAGCAGATGCCAATGACCTTTGTGGAAGAGGAACCTGGAGAAACCTCTCGATCTCAGCATAAACAAATCAACAAATACAGATCTTGGGCATAGGGAAGATAGGAATGAGCCACCAAGAGTAACTTACAGAGAAGATTACGCAGTGCTGAGAAAGAGAAAGCATGAGAATGAAACTCAGCTTGTGGGGGAAATCAGTTTTCATATGAATGAGACTATTTAATAGACAAATGGAGATATTGGGAATGTGTCCTTATAGCCCAGTGATAAATGTTATCAGAACATTCCCATAGGCACCCCTGAATCTCAAGATGCAAATATTTCTTCTAACGAAGACCATTGTCCTCTCTAGGTAACAGAAGGACAGGAAGTAACTTGAGATCAGTTAGGTTATTAATTACCAATGTGTATGCATGCAAAAAATCCCCCTCCATTTTGAAATGTATAAATATGAGTGAATCTGTCCGGTCTGCCATCATAATGACTTCAGCCTATTTTGCTGGCATCCTGCCATAAAAGGCGGGGAGGGGGAGAATGAGGACGTAGGGAAGGGGGATGACAGGATGACAGAAACCAGAAGTGTCAATCTGGAACAGGCCGGCTGCTCCAACAACAGGAGCATGAGAATGGAATGGGAAACTCCACCAAAGCAGTGCCAAACCTTAAAGCTGTTACCCAAAGTCCTAATATTATTGGACTCTTAAAACTGGTCAAGATGGGAGGACCTGGTAGAAGGGGAAAAGGCAGGCTTTGCAGAGGAATACTCAGATCCAACTTTTCTTGCGCTGTTAACACTTAGTTTAGTTTAGTTTAGTTTTTATTATATTTGTATACCGCCCTTCTCCCGAAGGACTCAGGGCAGTGAACAGCCATGATAAAACAACATACAAGACAAAATTTAAAAAACATATTAAAACAATTCAATCTTTGGCCAAAATTAAAACTTCCAATTAAAACCATATTAAACCACTTTAAAACCCAATTTAAAATCATTTATCCCATCAGACCGGCCTGCTGAAATAATAGGGTCTTCAGAGCACGACGGAAGGCGCGGAGGTCGGGGATCCTTCGTATGTCCGGGGGCAATTCATTCCATAGGGCAGGAGCCCCCACAGAGAAGGCCCTCCCCCTGGGGGAGTCGACATTGTTTGGCCGATGGCACCCTGAGGAGGCCCTCTCTGTGGGAGCGTGTCGGTCAGTGGGAGGAAAACTGTGGCAGAATGTGGTCCTGTAAGTAACTTGACTTTAGTAAAAGTATACCTTTTGCTACAAATGGATTCGAGGGTCTTTCTTTCCTACACATCCAAGCTGGGACAAGCCTGACAGCATCCTTTTCTCTGCAAGAGTTCCTCCCACTATTTTCTCAAGGGAATTTCTCCAGTGCACACAAACAAAAACAGTAAATACTGCAGCAAGCCTTGATTACATGCTTTGGGTCCTGCATTTTGATTCCATAAACCCCTCCTTGTTTAGTATAAGGGGAATACAGAGCACCTTAGTTGGACTTTTAAGGTTAAGATTTAAGGCACAAGGCTAGATATCAGGAGACCGTGAGTTCTAATCCTACCTTAGCCATGAAAATCAGAAAGGTAGAATTAGAACTCACAGTCTGATAACGTTTAACCCTGGTGCCTTAATCTCAAAAACCGATCTAAGGTGCTCTGTGTTCCCCCTATACTAAATATGCTGACTTTAGACTAGTCACTCTCTCTCAGCCCAACTCACCTCACAGGGTTGTTGTTGGGAAAATAGGAGGAGGAAGGAGTGTGGGGTATGTTCTCCACCTTGGGTTATTTGTAAAAACAATAAAGGCGAGATACATATAATAAACAAAAATAAATAAAATTCTCTTATTCTACCTTACTACAGAGAAGAGCATCCTGGAATCTCTGCTTTGCCTGTGTCTTGAACTGGCCTACTATGAAGGCTGCCACTTAGGTTGAACCTCTTTGAAAATGGCATCCATATCTCAAAGGCACCATTTGAAAACCTAGCTACCGTTTTATTGGCTTCAGAATAACGGTTGGGTGTTTATTTCTCTCAGGAATCAATCAAGACTTATCTTTAAAGCCTGGGCAAATGATGACAAGCTGCACCAGAGAATCTTCCAGAAGCATCCATTGTCCTTTCAGAGACTGACTGGTGGGAACTTGGGAGACAAATAAGGAGACAACTAAAACCCTATCACTTTTGCTGTTAAAATAATAAATTGCTAGGAGTAATTTGTTATATCTTGATTTGAGACAGGCTTTTAGTGAATCCAGCTCCCTCAAAAAGAACCTCTTAATAAATACTGTCTGAATTCTTAGGATAAAAATCCCTTTATTTTCACAACAATGCCAGAACGTGACACAATATGGAAAAACAAATAAAGGAAACAAGAATTCTGCCAAATTTTGCTATAACCTAATGACTCACATATCTTTTTCATAGGGCTGAGATCCTTAAATCTAATAAACAGACAGGTTTGGTATTCTGGGTATCAAAATCATTTTAATATATCCTGATATGGAGAAACCAGTTTAGGCAGGATGCTTAAATTAGGACATGATCCATTTAATTAGAGATGTTTTCTCATGTGCTGTAAAAACAGTTTCAATCTCAGATAGTTCCAGATACTAGTTACTGGAATCCATGTGTCCTGGTTTAGAAATATGCCTTGAATATGCCTACAGGGTTTTTGCATATGAATGGAATTTAAAAAGTACAAATAGTCCTTGACTTAGCAACCATTTGTTTAGTGACTGTTCAAAGACATAACGGCGCTGAAAAAGTGAATTATCACTGTTTTTCACCCTTATGACCATTGCAGTATCCCCATGGTCATGTGATCAGAATTTGAGTGCTTGGCAACTGCCATGTATTTATGATTTATCCCAGGGTCACATGATCAGCATTTGTAATCTTCCCAGCTGGCTTCTGACAAGCAAAGTTTAAACTCACCAAATGGCAAGGCTCAAGCAAGCTTTGGAGACAACCTACAAAGTTAGCTAAGACCCCCAGCCCCTTGGAGTCTCACAATCAGGATACATTTTTTATACAGGAACAGGAAACACTTAGAGGTGGGGCCCAAGAGAGGGCATAAAACCAAGCTCTTCCCTTTTGGTTCTTCACCGAACACCTTGAAACATGTCATCTCCTTTTCTGTTCAAGAACTGCAGCCATATGATTCCTGTCCACCATTAAGCCATCTTTCAAAGCAGTCTCCATGTTTCCAGTGTCTTTTTCCCCACTTGGAACTGAACCCAATAGGATATTTCTTCCAACAATACATATATATGTAAGAAGAACAAAATGCACAGGAACCGTATATATGATACCTTGCTCAATAGTAGTAACTGTGAGAGGGATCTTGGAGTCCTAGTAGACAACCATTTAGATATGAGCCAGCAGTGTGCAGCAGCTGCCAAAAAAGCCAACACAGTTCTGGGCTGCATAAACAGAGGGATAGAATCAAGATCACATGAAGTGTTGTTTGTTTTATTAAAAAGTGTTATCAAATATTACAACAATTTTTTCCCCGTCCCTCCTCCCCACCTTCCCTTTTACAGATTACAATCTGTAATTATACCTAACAAGAAGAACTCTGGAGTAAATTTTATCTTCTTTTTGAGAATGTTTTGGATAATCCACCATATTTTTATCCAAAATGCCTTAATTTTTTTACATGTCCACCATATATGATAATGCGTGGCATCATCACATTCACATCTCCAACACTTAGGTTGCACACTTGGATACATACAGGCTAGCTTTTTAGGATCCAGATGCCATCTATAAAACATTTTATAAAAATTCTCTCTTAAATTTTGGGCTTGGATAAACTTCACATTTCTAACCCATATTTTTTCCCACGTTTCCATCATTATTGGTTCTTCAATATTTTGTGCCCACTTTATCATACAATCCTTAACTAACTCCGTTTCCGAATCTATTTCTACCAATGCATTATACAACCTTTTTATATGCATTTGACTTTGATCTCTAATTCGTTTTACCAAGTTCTCCTCATTTTGCAAGATAGCAATTTTCTGATCTTCTCTCCATCTAGCTTGCAGCTGTACATACTGGAACCATGTTTGAATTATCCTTTCTTCTCTTAATTGATTCAAAGATTTTAATTGTAGTATACCTCTTTCCTTGTTAAGAAGCTCTTTGTATGTAGTCACATCTTGTTTTTGCTCTACACTTATATTCTCTATCGCGTGTCTGGGTATTGCCCACATTGGTAACTTCTCGTTTAATTTATACTTATACTTTTTCCAGACACGCAATAAAGCATTCCTTAATATGTGACTTTTAAAAGTCTTATCCACTTTCTTATCATGTAATAAATAAGCATGCCACCCTCAATATTCAATATTCTTTCTTCTGTTGAATTCATCCAGTCACTCATTGCTGATAGGGCAGCTGCCTCATAATATAGTCTTAAGTTGGGCATTTTGAGACCTCCTCTTTCACGTATATACTGCATTATTTTTGCTTTATTCTCGGTCTCTTCCCTGCCCAGACAAAATTATTAATACCCTTCTGCCATATCTTCAAATTTTCATCTTTTTAAAATATTGGTATCATTTGAAAAAGAAATAAAAACTTAGGCAAAGCATTCATTTTTACTGCTGCTATTCTTCCCAACAAAGATAATTGTATTTTTTTCCAATTTTCCATCTCTCTCTGTATTTTTTGCCACAACGGATCATAATTATGCTTAAATAATTTCGCATCTGATGTCGTAATGTAAACCCCTAAATACTTAACTTTTTTAACTATTTCAAACCCTGTTAGTCTTTCTAATTCTTCTATTTGATTTGTAGTCATGTTTTTAGTTATTATCTTCGTTTTCCCTGCATTTATTTTAAATCCAGATACTTGTCCATATTGATTAATTATATCCATTAAACCTACAACTGACTGTAATGGTTGGGTTAAAGTAACAACCAAATGGTCTGCAAATGCTTGTAGTCTGTAGTCATACTGCCTAATTTTAATTCCAATTATTTTTTCCTGTATTTTACTCAGCAAAAATTCCAAAGTCAAAATAAACAATAATGGAGACAAGGGACATCCTTGTCTTGTTCCTTTTTCTAGCTCCCACAATTGTTCATGATACCTGCTGAGTGCAGTTGGTCAGCCAATTGCAAATCTATCTGGTGGTGATGCTGTCTGTCCTACATTTTTAGAATCATCCAATTTAGGGTCACCTCAGGTCTCTGTTATTTGCTTTCAGGTTCTTTAGTTGCTTTGAAATATGGACAGATGTTGTAATGGCTCTTTTCAAGGCTGCAGGTTGCATACCAGAGATAGTGACTGTCCTTTGCTCTAGAGTTCTCTCACCCCATTTGAAAGACGTTCTCTGTTTTTCCATTTCTCTGATATTGGAGCTTTTTGCCAATACTTGCAACTTCCTCCCCATTTGTGGACAGAATCCAGTTGGTCAATGCACCTTCCTGCAATATATAAAGTTGCTCTTTTCATGATCATTTTTTTGTGTGAGCAGGATACAGCCTGGTCATCTCAGAAGCTGCTTTCTTCTTTCGAATAACAAATAGTCCCGTTAAATCTGACAAGTGAGTAAGTCTGCAGAATTTTTTTTAAAAAACAGGTTTTTTTTTTCAGAAAAGGGACTAGAATTTCTTGTTTTTTTCAAGCTGGTTAATTCTATTCAGGCTAGTTAGTTCTATTCCAGGCTAAAGAGACAACAATTTCTTCAGCCATAGTAGGAAATGCCAGCTAGAGTTTGACACAGAGAAGAGTGGGAAAGAAAAGCAGTGAAGATAAAGCCCATACTGGGCTGCCATTTCTTCTATGTTCAGATATGTGCTTGCAAATTTCCACCATCTTTATCTAGCAATAAGACCCGTTAAAAATCAGTGGGATATTCCTCTAGGTAGTTGCTGATAAGAATTGAATTTCCTAAAGCACTTGTGCAATTGTACTGGATACATCACTGGAGGTATTATTTCTACTTTGCTTTGCTCTAATATTGCTGGCTGTACAGCTGACAATTCATTCAGTTTTGGAATTTTGCTCCTTGAGGACAAATAATGTTAGGCCTTCTTCAGGAAACCTACAGAAATGTTTGTTAGGCAGCCTAGAGCGCCTGCTGAGGAAAGCATGTGTGGATGGGAAAATGTTAAGGTTAGGGCAGAGTTCCCCAACCTTTTCAGTTGTGGATCACCAGCTGTGTGTGTAGAGGGTAACAATCCGTGTGTGCGGTAGGCACACACGCACTCTGCTCTTGTGAGTGGGGATGGGTGCATACTCACACACTTACCTGCCACCTCCACGGCCCGGTTCCAAAAGGCTCAAGGCCTGGTAGTGGGTTAGGGGAATGTAGCTGTTCTAAAAAATATTTCTGAGGCTAGCCTTTGTGTGAAAGAAAATAGGAAATCCCACGGTGATTAGAAAACCTGAGTTACTGGGTTCAGAGGAGAAGTTGAAAGTTTGCTCTTTATCTTTTCAGCTGTACCTGACTTTTTATAACATTATTTCTCAACCTTGGTGACTTTAAGATGTGTGGACTTCAACTCATAGAATTCTGGGAGCTTTATAGAGCTTTATTGCTTGATAGACTTTATAAATTAGCACTTTCCATTTTATTTTTGATTCTTTACAACTTTTTTAAATGTTTCTAGTTTTTTGCTGGTCTCTTTTATAAGTGTACCCAATCATTCTTAGCATAACTGTTTTTTCCTAAAGAATTTTATTGTACAACATAACCAAAAGTGGGCAGGCTTTTTTATTGACGGTTGTATACCACACAGAGTCACTTTTTTGTGAGATGGATGGCCTTTTAAAGGTGAGAAATAAAAATAAAATTTATTCATCACATTTATATGGCCATCCATCTCACTGAACATGACGTGTACAACCAACAATTAAACAATGTCACAGCTATTAAAAGCTTAAGAAATAAATAAAAGCAACCTTGTGGGAGAAAAATCTAAACATACTATAACCATTACACAAGCTCACCCTGGGCTCCCCAAGGTTGCTGGGAAAACCATATTTTCAGGGCCTTCTGAAAGGCTACCGGGGTTTTGGGGTTTGGGAATGTTTACAACAGAACAACTTCAGCTTCATGGCCCACTAAAAAAATCTGGAAATTTCTTCAGATGTTAAAAACTAAAGGGCACTGCCCAAAACTATGATGATCTACAATTAGGCTGGTCCCAGATAGAAAATCCCATCTCATACTGAACTAAAAAAATGGATGTGTGTGCGTGAGAGAGATTCAACTGGATAATTCGGATGATTAAAGCAGGATTGGAGCAGTAAAAATGTTGATTTGGGGTGGTTTTACATTGTTGTTTATTTCAGTTAAATCTTAGCCATAATCCACAAGATAGATATTTGTACACTAAGTTCCAGAACGGGATTTTGGATTAAGTTAGAAAGATATAATATGCATAGCAAAAATAATATATAACAATGTTGTATTGGGAACCCTGGAGAAATTCTACTAGCAATTCTGTGTCAAAACTGTCCATTCGCTGAGCAAAGGGATTGGTAACCACGAGTTCTAAGTGGTTCTTCTGGAACCTTGGAGACACATCATGGAGAAGGGCAAAGGTGACTAAGTCACTCCCTGCTCACCATTGGTGTCCTCCTCACAGTAAATCAAGATGAATTGGCACTAGGTGTGCTTATACAATAAGTGGGATAATTTCATATCGTTTGTAAATTTTTCCAGATCCACCGACTCGTCCTACTGTTGCAATGCCTTGTCTGCTATGCCCATCTCTCTTGTACTGCCTCCTCCTCCTCCACTTTCCGCTGGTTTCCAGTTCTGCTTCTAATGGGGACACAGTGGTCAGAACCAGCAGTGGCCCCATTAAGGGCAAGCAGTTCCTGGCTGGCCTTGGATCTGTGACAGCCTATCTAGGCATTCCTTACGCTGAGCCTCCCCTGGGGAAGTTGCGTTTCCAGAAACCTCTTCCACATCAGCCATGGAAGCAAACATGGGAAGCCACCAGCTTTGGCAATTCCTGCCCTCAATTTATTTTCCGGGATGTCCCTGAAGCAGAGATATGGTTTCCTAAAACACCACTGTCAGAAGATTGCCTTTCCCTCAACATCTGGGTGCCACACCCACAACCTTCTTCAACAGTCCCTATTTTGGTCTGGATACACGGAGGGAGTTATTTAATTGGCACGTCTTCTCTGGAGTTGTACAATGGGGCATCCTTGTCTGCTGCTGAGAACGTCATTGTGGTCACCATCAATTATCGCTTGGGAGCCCTGGGCTTTCTGTACTTGCCACCAGCTGTTCCAGGGAACCTAGGCTTATGGGACCAACAGTTGGCCCTGAAGTGGGTAAAAGAGAATGCAGCTGCCTTTGGGGGAGATCCTTCTCGGGTGACCATTTTTGGCCAGAGTGCTGGAGGATCTTCTGTGAATTTCCATCTTCTTGCACCAAAAAGCCAGGACCTTTTTGCCCAAGCGGTGATCCAGAGCGGAACAGCCAATGCCTTCTATGCTTGGAGGTCTCCTGAGAAAGCCAAACAAAAATCACTGGAATTTGTTCATCTACTAGGTTGTTCCGAGGACAATAATAACAGCATAGTGCATTGCCTGCAATCAAAAAATGTTTCTGAACTTATTCAACATGAAATAGCTCTATTATTCAAAGGTGACTTCTTTATGAATTTTCCCTTCAGCCCAACCGTAGATGGGGAGTTTTTGCTTGGTGATCCAGAAAAGCTCATGGAGAAGGGGCAAATTCAGGCCAAACCAGTCCTCATAGGTGAAACCTCTGATGAAGGGGCTCCTTTTGTCTACTATGTTTTCCCTAACATCACCCACAATCTTATCAACCAGGAGCAGCTTTTGAAAGGGATAAGAATGTTGGTGCCAAATGCAACTGAAGATTTTATTCGGACTATTGCACTGAAGTACAGTGAAGGAAATCACGGCCCAGCACAATACCGCTCCGCTATGTCCCACTTCTATACAGATCAGATATTTGCATGCCCAGTGAGGGAAGCTGCAGGAAATATCAGGAAAACTGGGAGTCCTGTATATGCCTATTTATTTGCACATCGCCATTCAGGGTCAGTTTGGCCTGAATGGATTGGGGCAATTCACGGTGCTGAGATTCCTTTTGTTTTTGGAACCCTTCAATCAATGCTGCCTGCCAATCAAACATACACAGAGGCTGAAGCCAGGCTGAGCCGTAAGATGATGTACTACTGGGCAGAGTTTGCCAGAACAGGGTAAGTGGTTCACTTTATTTCTATAAATTTGTATTTTAAATCCAAAGGGAACCCCCTCCCCAACATTCAACGAATTACTTTATATCTAAAGCAATGAAGCTATAAAGTAATGCATGCTATTCCTTTGCATATGTTTACAGGTTGTGTTAATACAAGTAGTTCATGATTTACGACCACAGTTGAGACTAGAATTTCTGTTGCTAAGCAAGACAGTTGTTAAGTGAATCATACCCAATTTTTAAATCTTTCTTACCACAGTTATTAAGCAAATCCGTTGATTTGATTCCGTTGACAGTTGCAAAACAAAATGGCAGCTCAGAGCTGAAACTCCGAGGCTAGGAGGGAGATGTTTCGACATTTTCAAGAGTGTGGGGGTCAATTAACCATCCACAGACCCCCCTCCCAGAAAGCTGAGGTATTTTCGGCTCAATAGAGCTGTGGATGGAGCCCAAGGATAAAACCCGAGCCGAGCCCGAAGATCAGCTGTTTGTCAGTAAAAAGACTGAGGGCGGTGGGGAGAATGTCAACATCAAAGCCTGGCTGTCATGACTGGGTCAACCACTGAGTCTAATACAGCTGATGAAATGGTTGGCGAGACGGTGGCAACAGCGACTCCGGATAGGGTGTTGATAATGATGCCTGGGCTAATAGGCGCTGCATGTAGCAACACGGCGGTGATGATGTCTATGGCAAGGGGGGTTACCACAATGGCGAAGGGAATGGCGCTAATGGCAGCGACGGCGACAGCAACACCAGGAGGCTGCAAGGAAGCCCTCGTTGTTAATAGAGGAGAGGCAATGCTGCAAAGGCTATAAATGTTAGGATCCCTTCAACCTCTAGGGATCTGTTGCACTCCTCTTTCTTGAAACTCTGAGGACTTATTAAACTAATTGAACTAAGTAGCCTGAGCAAGGTGATGGATAGGGACTGAGGATTACAAACAGGAGATGATGACTTACTCTCCCCCTCAACTGTCCCTCTCTCCTTTATCAGATCTAGATCTATTACGACCACTCAGCATTAACTTGCAATCTTAGATCGATCTGCAGCTTTATTTACCACCTATTCCCCAAGATTACCCTGATTATTTAACCCTAAATACTTTGTCCTGTGGCTCTGCCTTACTTTTTTGATCTAATCCTCGGCCATCGCTGGTATCAGGACTGGAGGAGATACAGACATCGAGAGTCTTGGATTATGGGGAGATAGACCACCTTCTCTTTGTTTGTTTCAAATGGTTTGGTCGCTGTGAGAGGACGTCCCGTTGAGACCTCTATCCCCACCTCCTTTGGATGGACTTACTACAACCACAAGACTTCCCATCATCGTGAGAGGGCGATGATGTTCCGATGTATTGACATTTGTAACATACTGGTCTCCCTTTTACATCTATTTCCTCCCTTATTTTAAATTACCTGTCTTAACCATCTCTAACACTCTTAGAAGAAAATGATCCTTCATCTCCTTCAACTCGCTCCTATCTTTGATGTATTCAACTGCGGAGCTCCTTGCACTGCGAGATTCCCCCCTCTCGCATGTCTGGCCCTCTCAGTTATCAAGGGCCGCCCTTGAGGACGGGTTTTGGAACCCTGAGAGGTGGTTTGCAAAAAAAACGACGGCTTTGGGGTTTTTTAGATAAATCTTTAAGTTCTATTTTAAGGGGTTCTGGGAGGGATTGTGGGAATGGATCTGGGGGGATCCATAAATCCACTGAAAGGGGTAATGGGTCTGATAATCATGGTGAGGAGGATGGGGACAGAAATCTGACAAGGATGCAGGGGGATGAAGCGATGGGCATTAGTATAGTAAGTGGGAGGGGCAGATATGACGGCTGCAGGGGGCCATATTATGTTTCGGGAGTGCGCACTCGTTGTTTAAGAGCGATTGCCCACTCCGACCCCCAAAGCACTGCTCGTTTCCCGGGTTGTTCAGAGTCTCAGACCCTGGGTCTACGGCTGATGTTATGTAATGCCAGGTCAGTGGTAAATAAAGCCCCCCCCCATTCATGATCTTATTTCAGAGGGGGGTGCTGACCTGGCAGGGATTACGGAGACCTGGTTAGGCCAGGAGGGAGGAGTTCCCCTTGTGGAAATGTGCCCGCCAGGTTTCCGTGCATTCCATCAGCCAAGGACTCAGGGAAGGGGTGGGGGAATGGCAGCAATCATTAGAGAAAGTCTTTGCCCGAGGGAGGCCACTGTTCCTCAGATAGCTGGATGTGAGTCCCTCCTTGTGAAGTGGGGTTGGGGGATTCAGATGGGCCTACTGATTGCGTACCTGGCTCCCTGCCACGTAACAGCAGTCCTGCCTGAGCTGCTCGACATTATAGCTGGGGTGGCAGTGGAAACCCCCAGACTTATTGTTATGGGGGATTTTAACCTGCCATCCGCTGGTCAGATGTCGGAGACGGCTCGGGAGTTCATGGCTTCCATGACGGCTATGGACCTGACCCAGGTAGTTCAAGGCCCCACCCACTTGGGGAATCACACTCTGGACTTGATTTTTGTCTCTGATCAGTGGCTGAATGATCTAAGAATAGGGGATATAGACATCAAGCCCTTGTCATGGTCTGATCATTCTCTCCTTCACATGGACTTTCAAGTCACTTCCACCCACCGCAGGGAGACGGAACCAACCAAATGGTTCCGTCCCAAATGATGGACCCCGAAAGGTTCCTGATGGAGCTTGGGCCATTTCCTGAGACTCTGGCTCACAACTCGACTGAGGACCTGGTGGTCGCCTGGGACAGGGCGGCTACTGGGGCCTTGAACCGCGTTGTGCCTTTGCGGCCTCTGACCCGATGCCGATCTCGTCTAGCTCCTTGGTTTTCCGAGGAGCTGAGAGAGATGAAGCATTGGAAAAGACGCCTGGAGAGTGATTGGAGGATAAGCCGATCTGAATCTGACCGAACACAGGTGAGATCTTATATTAAGACCTACCTAGTGGCGATAAGAGCGGCGAAGTCTAGCTACTTCTCTGCTCTTATTGCATCTGCAGAGAACCACCCAGCTGCGCTGTTTAGGGTAACCCGCTCCCTACTTCAGGTGGGGGTACGGGAAGATCCCTTAAAGGATCGAGCTGAGGATTTTTTACAATTCCTGCATGATAAAGTCGCTCAGATTCGGGAAGGCCTGGACTCCGATTGGGTAGATCCAGGGGAGGAGACGGGGGCAGGTCTTGAGAGCGTTATCTGGGAAGAGTTTGACTCTGTGGCTCCTGAGGACGTGGACAGGATTCTGGGCAAGCTTAACGCTGCCACATGTTTATTGGACCCGTGTCCCTCCTGGTTGGTACTGGCCTCCCGGGAGGTTACACGAGGCTGGCTCCAGGGGATTATAAATGCTTCTCTGAGTGAGGGTGTCTTTTCCGCCGCCTTGAAAGAGGTGGTTGTGAAGCCCCTCCTCAAGAAGCCTTCCCTGGACCCGGCTATATTATCAAATTATCGTCCAGTCTCCAATCTTCGCTTTGTTGTGAAGGTTGTTGAGAGTGTGGTGGCGCGGCAACTACCCCGATACCTGGATGAAGTTGTCTATCTGGATCCGTTCCAGTCGGGTTTCAGGTCATGATACAGCACGGAAACGGCATTGGTCGCATTGGTGGATGATCTCTGGAGGGCTCGGGACAGAGGTTGCTCCTCTATCCTGGTCCTATTAGATCTCTCAGCAGCTTTTGATACCATCGACCATGGTATCTTACTGCACCGGCTGGAGGGGTTAGGAATAGGGGGCACCGTGCTTTGGTGGTTCTCCTCCTTCCTCTCTGACCGTTCGCAGTTTGTGTTGGCAAGGGGGCAGAGGTCGACCTCGAGGCACCTTATTTGTGGGGTGCCGCAAGGGTCAGTCCCCTCACCCCTTCTGTTCAACATTTATGTAAAACCGCTAGGCGAGATCATCTGTGGTTTTGGGGTGAGTGTTCATCAGTATGCTGATGACACACAGCTATACATCTCCACCCCAGACCACCCCAATGATGCCCTTGCTGTGATGTCCCGTTGCCTGGAGGCCGTGCGGATCTGGTTGGGGAGAAACAAGCTCAGACTCAACCCCTCCAAGACCGAGTGGCTGTGGCTTCTGGCGTCCCGGTATAGTCAGCTGGTACCATCACTGACAATAGGGGATGAGATCTTGCTCCCCACAGAGAGGGCCCGCAACTTCGGTGTCCTCCTGGATTCACGGTTATCTTTAGAAGATCATTTGACGGCCGTGGCCAGGGGTGCCTTTTATCAGGTTCGCCTGATCCGCCAGTTGCGTCCCTTTCTGGATCGGGACGCCTTGCGCACGGTCACTCATGCCCTAGTTACCTCCCGTATGGACTACTGTAATGCTCTCTACATGGGGCTCCCCTTGAAAAGCACCCGGAGGCTCCAACTGGTCCAGAACGTAGCCGCGCGGGTGATTATGGGCGCAGCTCATTACGCCCATGTAACACCTCTCCTACGTGAGCTGCACTGGCTCCCGGTGGTCTTCCGGGTGCGATTCAAGGTGTTAGTTATCACCTTTAAAGCACTCCATGGCTTAGGACCTGGGTATCTACGAGACCGTCTTTTGCCACCAATAGCCTCCCACCGACCAGTTCGTTCTCACAGGGAGGGACTACTCCGGGTACCGTCAGTCAAATTATGTCGACTGGTGACTCCCAGGGGGAGGGCCTTCTCTGTGGGGGTTCCAACCCTTTGGAATGAACTGCCCCCGGAGATACGGAATATCCCTGATCTCCGTGCTTTCCGCCATGCCCTCAAGACCCTGATGTTCCAACAGGTGGGGCTAAACATACGAACATGTGAATGATTTTTTAAATGTTATCTAATTCTGGGTTTTATTTAATTGACCAAACTAAGTAATAATTTTAATTACAAATTTTATGATGTTTGTGTGTCTATATTTTTCTTGACTGTACACCGCCTTGAGTCCTACGGGAGAAAGGCGGTATAGAAATATAATAAATAAATAAATAAACCACTGCAATTTTTAAGTACAATATATGATTATGTGAATCCAGTTTCCTCCACTGACTTTGCTTGTTGAAAATCAGCTGGGAAGGTTGCAAATGGTGATCATGTGACCCTGAGACATTGCAGCCATTGGAAATACATGCCAGTTGCCAAGCAGCCAAATTTTTATCACGTGACCGTAAGGATGCTGGAATAGTTGTAAGTGCAAGGACCAGTTGTAAGTAACTTTTTTCAGTGCCATTGTAGCCTTGAATGGATATTAAATGAATAGTTGATAGTCAAGGACTACCTGTACTGGAAAGAGCCCTGAAATTTTTAAGAATTCTTAATATTGTCACTTATAGATAATTGTTCTTTTATGAGTTCAGTGGTATCACACATATGCCAGGGTACATTATTTCTCCAAGTGAAATAAAGAAGGCAAAAGGGAGATAAGAAACAGAGCATTACTCTACCATTAAGAGAACGAGCAAAGGCTTGCAAGGGAGTAAGTAGTGAAGGGGAAACTCACAAGATGGAGGGTGCCCAGGGTGTGAGGAATGGGGGAATGGATTGGAACTGGCAGATCCAAGAGTCCACCAGGAGCTGACCTGGGTTTGGATCAGCAAGGAGGAGACACAAGAGATTCCACCAAGCCAAACTCCACCCCTCCCTCAAAGTCCCCTTTGGGAGTTCCCCTTGGTTGTAGTTTCTAAAGTCAAAACCAGTCTCTTTGGAAAAGAGCTACATCAGAATAACAGAGTTGGAAGGGACCTTGGAGGTCTTCTAATCCAACTTCCTGCTCAAGCAGGAGACCCTATTCCACTCTGGACAAGTGGCTGTCCAATCTCTTCTTAAAAACCTCCAGCAATGAAGCACTCATAGCTTCTGAAGTCAAAGCTGTTCCTCTGATCAATTGTTCTCACTGTCAGGAAATTTCTCCTTTTTTCTAGGTTCTTTCTTTCTTTCTTTCTTTCTTTCTTTCTTTCTTTCTTTCTTTCTTTCTTTCTTTCTTTCTTTCTATTTATCTGTCAAACACGTATAACATAACAGATATAAGTATAAACATGATTATGAATACAGGATAAGGATACAAATAAATGGGGACAGTAGGACAGGGATAGTAGGCACGCTGGTGCCCTTACGCACGCCCCTTACAGACCTCTTAGAAATGGGGTGAGGTCACCAGTAGACAGTCTAAGGTTAAAGTTTTGGGGGTTTGGGGAAGAAACCACAGAGTCAGCTAGTGCATTCCAGGCATTGACCACTCTGTTGCTGAAGTTGTATTTTCTGCAATCGCGTTTGGAATAGTTTACCTTAAGTTTGTATCTATTATGTGCTCGTGTATTATTGCGGTTGAAGCAGATAATTTTGTGTACTCCGCTTAAGTCAGACCTTGATTAGTTTCCATCAATGTCCTTTTCTTCCTCCTTAGGAATCCCACGGGGTTAGCAGCCAGCAAGGATGAGTGGGCACTCTATAATGCCACAGACCAGAATTTCTTCCTTCTTAATACTGAGCCATTCCAGGAAAGGGTGATAGAGCACTGTGATTTTTTAAAGAGCCTTTTTTCAAAGGCTGAAGAGACACGTAAGTTAGGCTATTAGTTCTGCCTTTGGAAGGGAGTAGTGGTTGATGAAAAAGATGTTTTTAAAAATCATTTATATATCAAATATAGAGATTGCCCACCTCATTCATAGAGCAATTTCTAAAAATTGATTTTATTGCCACTCTTTGCTGAAACATATTCATTTGATTTTACACTGGGCAATTTTGTAATGCTAGTGATAAATTTTGTAGAGCAAGCATATTTCATGACGTCCCAAAACTTGGGACTCTAGTAATGTCCACTAAGTAAGCCTTAGTTGCTCACATAAAGATAACAACAACAATAATAACAACAACAATAATGAATCCCAAAACATCTGGATCACCTCTTGACTACGATCGGCATTGACAAAATCCCTCTTGGTCAATTGCAAAAGGCAGCTTTATTTGGAACAGATTGCATCCTGCAATGATAACTTTAATACCATCAAAAAATATCTGTCCATTCCAGTTTTTTGGGAAGAACTGAGTATGTGGACAAAAATGTCAAATCCGGTCTAAACATCTGGCTGACCATGTGATGAACAATAATGTTTTGATAAATATATCAAATAATATATAATATTTATATACATATAAATATATATATATTATATATCAAATAATATATTAAAATTTTAATAAATATATGTTATGCCATGAATCATGGAATCCTCAGAATCCTACTTCTAGATTCAGATTCTTTAGTGATAAGACGTACACCTTATATTGATATTTCATTTTTCTTTGTTCTGCAGACAAGTCCGAAGGTGATTCTGTTTCATCGGACTAGGAAGAAGACAGCAGGTAGGAATTCAGTGCTTGGTTATAGTAACAGCGTTCAAATGGGATCAAGTTAGATGATTTCAGAAGGGGACTAGACTTCTTTCTAAATCGTAGTTTCACATTGGCATTCCAAACAATTTTTAAGTAGCACTTTTGTGGCTCAGCCTCGCTGTGTGAAATGGAAGCTCTCCAAGCCAATGCCAATGGCCTTTGTGGAAGAAGAACCTGGAGGAACCTCTAGATCTCAACATAAACAAATCAACAAATACAGATCTTGGGCATAGGGAAGGAAGGAATGAGCCACCAAGAGTAACTTACAGAGAAGATTACGCAGTGCTGAGAAAGAGAAAGCATGAGAATGAAACTCAGCTTGTGGGGGAAATCAGTTTTCATATGAATGAGACTATTTAATAGACAAATGGAGACATTGGGAATGTCTCCTTGTAGTCCTGTGATAAATGTTATCAGAACTTTCCCATAGGCACCTCTGAATCTCAAGATGCAAATATTTCTTCTAACGAAGATCATTGTCCTCTCTAGGTAGCAGAAGGACAGGAAGTAACTTGAGATCAGTTAGGTTATTAATTACCAATGTGTATGCATGCATAAAAATCCCCCTCCATTTTGAAATGTATAAATATGCTATCGTAATGGCTTCAGCCTATTTTGCTGGCATCCTGCCATAAAAGGCGGGGAGGGGGAGAATGGGGACATAGGGAAGGGGGATTACAGAATCACAGAAACCAGAGGTGTCAATCTGGAACAGGCCGGCTGCTCCAACAACAGGAGCATGAGAATGGAATGGGAAACTCCACCAAAGCAGCACCAAACCTTAAAGCTGTTACCAAAACTCTTAATATTATTGGACTCTTAAAACTGGTCAAGATGGGAGGACCTGGGAGAAGGGGAAAAGGCAGGCTTTGCGTAGGAATACTCAGATCCAACTTTTCTTGAGCTGTTAACACTTGACTTTAGTAAAAGTATCCCTTTTGCTACAAATGGATTCGAGGGTCTTCCTTTCCTAAACATCCAAGTTGGGGCAAGCCTGACAGCATCCTTTTCTCTGCAAGAGTTCCTCCCACTATTTTCTCAAGGGAATTTCTCCAGTGCACATAAACAAAAACAGTAAATACTGCAGCAAACCTTGATTACGTGCTTTGTGTCCTGCATTTTGATTCCACAAACCCCTCCATGTTTAGTATAAGGGGAATACAGAGCACCTTAGTTGGACTTTTAAGGTTAAGATTTAAGGCACAAGGCTAGATATCAGGAGACTGTGAGTTCCAATCCTACCTTAGCCATGAAAGTCAAAAAGGTAGAATTAGAACTCACAGTCTCATAACGTTTAACTCTGGTGCCTTAATCTCAAAAACCCATCTAAGATGCTGTGCTCCCCCTATACTAAATCCGCTGACTTTAGACTAGTCACTCTCTCTCAGCCCAACTCACCTCACAGGGTTGTTGTTTTGGAGAAAATAGGAGGAGAAAGGCATAGGGGTATGTTCTCCACCTTGGGTAATTTGTAAAAATAATAAAGGCGAGATACATATAATAAACAAAAATAAATAAAATTCTCTTATTCTACCTTACTACACAGAAGAGCATCCTGGAATCTTTGCTTTGCCTGTGTCTTGAATTGGCCTACTACAAAGGCTGCCACTTAGGTTGAACCTCTTTGAAAATGGCATCCATATCTCAAAGGCACCATTTGAAAACCTAGCTACAGTTTTGGTGGCTTCAGAATAACGGTTGTGTGTTTATTTCTCTCAGGAATCAATCAAGACTTCTCTTTAAAGCCTGGGCAAATGATGACAAGCTGCACCAGAGAATCTTCCAGAAGCATCCATTGTTCTTTCAGAGACTGACTGGTGGGAACTTGGGAGACAAATAATGAAACAACTAAAACCCACATCACTTTTGCTGTTAAAATAATAAATTGCTAGGAGTAATTTGTTACATCTTGATTTGAGACAGGCTTTTAATTAATCCAGCTCCCTCAATAAAGAACCTCTTAATAAATACTGTTTGAATTCTTAGGATAAAAATCCCTTTATTTTCACAACAATGTCAGAACTTGACGCAATATGAAAAAACAAATAAAGGAAACAAGAATTCTGCCAAATTTTGCTATAACCTAATGACTCACATATCTTTTTCTTAGAGCTGAGATCCTTAAATGTAATAAACGGACAGGTTTATTCCATCAAAGATAACATATCAAACCAGTTTTGTCTTTTCCAGTTTCCAGTTGTAGAAAGTTAGCACCCACTCCTCTCTTAGAAGAATGAAAGATTTTAGGAAATATTAAAAAGGCAGAATATTATATTTCCCTGGATGAGAAATGGAGAATACATGTTCTTGAACAGGAATAGGAAGTTCAGGTGCAAAGCCCAAGAGAAGGTATAAATACCCCCACTCTCAACTCCATGTGGTCAGCTGCCCAGAACAATATGCTTGGTAGTTCTGCTTCATCAATAAATGGACTCTCTTTCCAATCAGCCTCCATTTTGTCTCCAGTGCCTTTCTCCTAACTTGGAACTGAATCAAATGGATATTTCTTCCAACACAGTATTCTGTTTACTTAAATAAAGGATCATCATTATCACTATCACCAACATATTTTCTTCAGCCAACATATATACAAAAATTTGGTTAATCTAGTTGAAAAAAAACTTTTGAAATTGGATTTTATTATATTAAATGTGTTAAAGACTTATTGTATTTCACCTATATCCCTCCTTTCCTTTCCTTGAATATGTCTACAGGGTTTTTGCATATCAATGGAATTTTAAAAGTACAAATAGTCCTTGACTTAGCAACCATTTGTTTAGTGACTGTTCAAAGATATAACGGCGCTGAAAAAATGACTTATCACTGTTTTTCACCCTTATGACCATTGCAGCATCCCCATGGCCATGTGATCAGAATTTGAGTGCTTGGCAATTGGCATGTCCACCTGGGAGAAGGGCAGTATATAAATTTGATATAAAATAAAAAATAAAATAAAAATATCTCAGGGGTTGCCAAAGAAGAGGGAATCAAGCTATACTCCAAAGCACCTGAGGGCAAGACAAGACGCAATGGATGGAAACTAATCAAGGAGAGAAGCAACCTAGAACTAAGGAGAAATTTCCTGACAGTGAGAACAATTAATCAGTGGAACAACTTGCCTCCAGAAATTGTGAATGCTCCAACACTGGATGTTTTTAAGAAGAGATTGGACAACCATTTGTTGAAATGGTATAGGGTCTCCTGCCTGAACAAAGTGTCGGGGATCCAAGTAACAAACCCAATGCAATCAAAACTCTGACGCCTGGAGGCTCCTCAAAGTAAGAATTTATTAGGAATGTCATATTGGCACATCTGGGGAAAACCCGACTCTGAAGGACCCGAGGTTTTCCCCACCCAAATCAAAATCCAAAGTTCTTGCCCCCAGGTCATACGTCCATCACATGGTCCAATCAGACCACGGACGGTCCCCACTCTGGCTGCCTTTAGTCCATGTCTTCCAAACACCTGCTGAAGATGTCCTTGGCTCCCACAGGAAAGAATGTTATTTTGGCTACATAGCTACATATTCCCCCAGCTATCTCTATCTCCCCCCTCTGGTTCCCACAGCTCCGACCAGCCTCACTGTGGCAGCCCTGAAGATGCTCCCAAAATGGCTTCAGGGCTGACACAGTGGATTGGTTCAGAAGACCTCCAAGGTCCCTTCCAACTCTCTTTATTCTATTCTATTCTATTCTATTCTATTCTATTCTATTCTATTCTATTCTATTCTATTCTATTTTCTATTCTATTCTATTCTATTTTCTATTCTATTCTATTCAAAAACTCTGGTGCCTTGGAGAATGAATCAATCCCCTTTTCTTTGTGACAGCTCCTCAAGTATTGGAAGATAGCTATCATGTCCCCTGTAATCCTACTTTTTAATAGGCCAGCCACTAGACCTACTTAGCTCCCACAATTGTTCATGATACCTGCTGAGTGCAGTTGGTCAGCCAATTGCAAATCTATCTGGTGGTGATGCTGTCTGTCCTACATTTTTAGAATCATCCAATTTAGGGTCACCTCAGGTTTCTGTTATTTCCTTTCAGGTTCTTTAGTTGCTTTGAAATATGGACAGATGTTGTAATGGCTCTTTTCAAGGCTGCAGGTTGCATACCAGAGATAGTGACTGTCCTTTGCTCTAGAGTTCTCTCACCCCATTTGAAGGACATTCTCTGCTTTTCCATTTCTTTGATATTGGAGCCTTTTGCCAATACTTGCAACTTCCTCCCCCTTGGTGGACAGAATCCAGTTGGTCAATGTACCTTCCTGCAATATATAAAGTTGCTCTTTTCATGATCATTTTTTTGTGTGAGCAGGATACAGCCTGGTCATCTCGGAAGTTGCTTTCTTCTTTAGAATAACAAATAGTCCCGTTAAATCTGACAAGTGAGTAAGTCTGCAGAATTTTTTTAAAAAACAGTTTTTTTCAGAAAAGGGACTAGAATTTCTTGTTTTTTTCTGGCTGGTTAATTCTATTTAGGCTAGTTAGTTCTATTCTAGGATAAACATACATAAAGAGACAACAATTTCTTCAGCCATAATGGGAAATGCCAGCTAGAGTTTGACACAGAGAAGAAGAGTAGGAAAGAAAAGCAGTGAAGAGAAAGCCCATACTGGGCTGCCATTTCTTCTAGGTTCAGATATATGCTTGCAAATTTCCACCATCTTTAACTAGTAATAAGACCCATTAAAAATCAGTGGGATATTTTTCTAGGTAGTTGCTGATAAGAATTGAATTTCCTAAAGCACTTGTGCAATTGTACTGGATACATCACGGGAGGTATTATTTCTACTTTGCTCTGCTCTAATATTGCTGGCTGTACAGCTGACAATTCATTCAGTTTTGGAATTTTGCTCCTTGAGGACAAATAATGTTAGGCCTTCTTCAGGAAACCTACAGAAATGTTTGTTAGGCAGCCTAGAGTGCCTGCTGAGGAAAGCATGTGTGGATGGGAAAATGTTAAGGTTAGGGCAGAGTTCCCCAACCTTTTCAGTTGCGGATCGCCAGCTGTGTGTGTAGAGGGTAGCAATCCGTGTGTGCGGTAGGCATACACGAATGCTGCTCGCTTGAGTGCCATCTCCATGGCCCGGTTCGAAAGGCTCAAGGTAGTGGGTCACAGCCCAGGGATTGGGCACCTCTGGATTGGGGAATGTAGCTGTTCTAAAAAAAATATATCTGAGGCTAGCCTTTGTATGAAAGAAAATAGGAAATCCCACGGTGATTAGAAAACCTGAGTTACTGGGTTCAGAGGAGAAGTTGAAAGTTTGCTCTTTATCTTTTCAGTTGTACCTGACTTTTTATAACATTATTTCTCAACCTTGGTGACTTTAAGATGTATGGACTTCAACTCGCAGAATTCTGGGAGTTGAAGTCCACACAACATAAAGTTGCTAAGACTGAGAAATATTGCTTTATAACCTTTATAGATTAGCACTCTCCATTATATTTCTGATGCTTTACAACTTTGTTTAATGTTTCTAGGTTTTTGCTGGTCTCTTTTATAAGTGTACCCAATCATTCTTAGCATAACTGTTTTTTCCTGAAGAATTTTATTGCACAACATAACCAAAAGTGGGCAGGTTTACCTTCATAATTCTAGGTTTCAGTTTGACAGGGCCTCAAATCTCCTGGGTTGTTATTTTTGCCCTCCAAGATGTGCGCATTAGTGGTCTCCAGTCCAATAATTTGCAAGAGTCCGATTTTCTTCTGTCTGCCTTCTTTTTAAGTGTTGGATGCTTGGCAACTGGCATGTAGTTATGACGGTTACAGTGTCCCAGGGTTATGTGATCACCTTTTGCAATCTTCTGACAAGCAAAGTCAAAGGGAAAGCCAAATTCACTCAACAATCATTTAACTAAGTTAACAACTGCAGTGATTCACTTAAGAACTGTAGCAAGAAAGGTCATAAAATGGGGCAAAAGTAATTTTTTATAGGGCCTAGCTATCTGCGAGACCGCCTGCTGCTACCGACGACCTCCCATTGACCCGTGCGCTCCCACAGAGAGGGCCTCCTCAGGGTGCCATCAGCCAAACAATGTAGGCTGGTGGCCCCCAGGGGGAGGGCCTTCTCTGTGGGGGCTCCCACCCTCTGGAATCAGTTGCCCCCGGAGATAAGGAGAATCCATGACCTCAATGCCTTCCGTCATTCCCTGAAAACCCATCTTTTTCAGCAAGCCGGGTTGGCTTAAGAAGAAAATTTTAAATTCTTTTAATTAGTCTGTGATTTTTTAACTTTTGGGCCAAAATTTATATATATTTTTAAATGTTTTAATATTTGTATTCTATGTTTTTTATCTTGGCTGTACACCGCCTTGAGTCCTCAGGGAGAAGGGCGGTATATAAATTGGAAATTAAATTAAATTAAATTAAATTTAATAATTGTCTTGCTTAGTAGTGGAAATTTTGGAGTTAATTATTGGTCATAAGTTGAGGACTCCCTGTACTGTGGGCAAATTTAAGAGGGGAAATATCCAAAGTTTATTCATTTTTAGTGGTTTGACCAACTCTGGCAAGAAAGGGGAATCTCAGACAAATCAAGGTTAGCATTTATGTATGAAGGGACTATAGCAGGGGTGAAATGCTCCTGGTTCGGACCGGATCGCCTGATCCAATAGCGATAGAGGCGGGTGGTTCGGAGAACCGGTAGCAAAAATCCCTGCCACCCCCACCCAACCCCAATGCCCCGCTGAGCTGCGCAATCATCAGAGGCTTTTTTAAAATTATTTTTAAAAGCATTTTTTCTACAACCTCTTTGGCCGAAAAAATGCTTTTAAAAGTTAAAAAAAAAGCCTCTGATGATCACACAGCTCAGCTGGGATCGTCGGAGCCTTTTAAAAGCATTTTTTTTACAACCTCTTCAGCCAAAGAGGTTGTAGAAAAAATGGTTTTAAAAGTAAAAAAAAAGTTGGCCATGCACACCCAGTCACATTACCCCTACCACCACCAAGCCACACCCACAGAACTGGTAGTAACAAATTTTAGATTTCACCACTGGACTACAGTACTGTGGAAATTATTTCACTTATTTTTATTGATGGATGTATGCCACCCAGAGTCACTTTTTGTGAGATGGGTGGCTTTTTAAAGGTGAGAAATAAGAATAAAATTTCTTTAATAACAGATTTATATGGCCATCCATCTCACTGAACATGATGTGTACAACACAGCTATTAAAAGCTTAAGAAATAAATAAAAGCCACCTGATGGGAGAAAAATCTAAACACAATATAACCATTACTCAAGGCTCCCAAGGTTGTTGGGAAAACCACATTTTCAAGGCCCTCTGAAAGGCTAACAGGGTTTTGGGAATGTTTACAACTGAACAACTTCAGTTTTATGGCTCAGTAAAAAAAAAAAAAATCTGGAAATTTCTTCAGATTAGGAAAACTAAAGAATACTGCCCAAAACTATGATGGTCTACAATTAGGCTGGTCCCAGATGAAAAATCACATCTCATACCGAACTAAAAAAAAAAAAGGATGTGTGTTTGTGAGAGAGATGCAACTGTACATTTGTTGATTTAAAACAGGATTGGAGCAATAAAAATGTTGATTTCAGGTCATTTTACATTGTTGTTTATTTCAGTTAAATCTTAGCCATTATCTACTAGATAGGGATTGGTACACTAAGTTCCAGAACGGGATTTTGAAATAAATTAGAGAGATATAATATCCATAACAAAAATAATATATAACAAAATTGTATTGGGAACCCTGGAGAAATTCTACTAGCAATTCTGTGTCAAAACTGTCCATTCGCTGAGCAAAGGGATTGGTAACCCTGAGTTCTAAGTGGTTCTTCTGGAACCTTGGAGACACATCATGGAGAAGGGCAAAGGTGACTAACTCAGTGCCTGCTCATCATTGGTGTCCTCAGCAAGAACAGAGACCCACCATCACAGTAAATCAATTATGAATTGTCATTAAGTGGGCTTAAAGTACGTGAAATAATTTCATAATGGTTGTAACTTTTTCCAGGTCCACCGACTCGTCCTACTGTTGCAATGCCTTGTCTGCTATGCCCGTCTCTCTTGTGCTGCCTCGTCCTCCTCCTCCTTCCCTTTCCATTAGGCTCCAGTTCTGCGTCTAATGGGGATACAGAGGTCATAACCAGCAGTGGCCCTATTAAGGGCAAGCAGGTCCTGGCTGGCCTTGGGTCTGTGACAGCCTATCTAGGCATTCCTTATGCTGAGCCTCCCCTGGGGAAGTTGCGTTTCCAGAAACCTCTTCCACATCCGCCATGGAAGCAAACATTGGAAGCCACCAGCTTTGGCAATTCCTGTCCTCAATTTATTTTCCGGGATGTCCCTGAAGCAGAGATATGGTTTCCTAAAACACCACTGTCAGAAGATTGCCTTTCCCTCAACATCTGGGTGCCACACCCACAACCTTCTTCACCAGTCCCTGTTTTGGTCTGGATACACGGAGGGGGATATTTAATGGGCACATCTTCTCTGGAGTTGTTCAACGGGGCATCCTTGGCTGCTGCTGAGAACGTCATTGTGGTCACCATCAATTATCGCTTGGGAGCCCTGGGCTTTCTGTACTTGCCACCAGCTGCTCCAGGGAACCTAGGCTTATGGGACCAACAGCTGGCCCTGAAGTGGGTAAAAGAGAATGCAGCTGCCTTTGGGGGAGATCCTTCTCGGGTGACCATTTTTGGCCACAGTGCTGGAGGATCTTGTGTGAATCTCCATCTTCTCGCACCAAAAAGCCAGGACCTTTTTGCCCAAGCCGTGATCCAGAGTGGAACAGCCAATGCCTTCTGGGCTTGGAGGTCTCCTGAGGAAGCCAAACAAAAATCACTGGAATTTATTCATCTACTAGGTTGTTCCAAGGACAATACTGTCAGCATAGTGCATTGTCTGCAAACAAAAAATATTTCTGAATTTATTCGGCATGAAATAGCTCTGTACTTCAAAGGTGGCTTCCTTGTCAATTTTCTCTCCAAGCCAACCACAGATGGGGAGTTTTTGCTTGGTGATCCAGAAAAGCTCATGGAGGAGGGGCAAATTCAGGCCAAACCAGTCCTCATAGGTGAAACCTCTGATGAAGCAGCTTTATTTGTCCCCTATGTTTTCCCTAACATCACCCACAATCTCATCAATCAGGAGCAGCTTTTGAAAGGGATAAGAATGTTGGTGCCAAATGCAACTGAAGATTTTATTCGGACTATTGCAGTGAAGTACATTGAAGGAAATCACGGCCCAGCACAATACCGTTCTGCTATGTCCCATTTCTATACAGATCGGATCATTGCATGTCCATTGAGGGAAGCTGCAGGAAATATCAGGAAAACTGGGAGTCCTGTATATGCCTATTTATTCGCACATCGCCATTCAGGGTCAGTTTGGCCTGAATGGATTGGGGCAATTCACGATGCTGAGATTCCTTTTGTTTTTGGAACCCTTGAATCAATGCTGCCTGCCAATCAAACATACACAGAGGCTGAAGCCAGGCTAAGACGTAAGATGATGTACTACTGGGCAGAGTTTGCCAGAACTGGGTAAGTGGTTCACTTTATTTCTATAAATTTGTATTTTAAATCCAAAGGGAACCCCCACCCCAACATTCAACGAATTACTTTATATCTAAAGCAATGAAGCTATAAAGTAATGCATGCTATTCCTTTGTGTATGTTTACAGGTTGTGTTAATACAAGTAGTTCATGATTTACAACCACAGTTGAAACTAGAATTTCTGTGGCTAAGCAAAACAGTTGTTAAGTGAATCATACCCAATTTTTAAATCTTTCTTACCACAGTTATTAAGCAAATCACTGCAATTTTTAAGTACAATATATGATTATGTGAATCCAGTTTCCTCCACTGACTTTGCTTGTTGAAAATCAGCTGGGAAGGTTGCAAATGGTGATCATGTGACCTGGGACATTGCAGCCATTGGAAATACATGCCAGTTGCCAAGCAGCCAAATTTTGATCACGTGACTGTGAGGATGCTGGAATAGTTGTAAGTGCAAGGACCAGTTTTAAGTCACTTTTTTCAGTTCCATTGTAGCCTTGAAGGGATGTTAAATGAATAGTTGTAAGTCAAGGACTACCTGTATTGGAAACAGCCCTGACATTTTTAAGGATTCTTAATAATGTCATTTATAGATAATTGTTCTTTTATGAGTTCAGTGGTATCACACATATTCCGGGTACATTATTTCTCCAAGTGGAATAAAGGAGGCAAAAGGGAGATAAGAAACAGAGTATTACCCTACCATTAAGAGAAAGAGCAAAGGCTTGCAAGGGAGTAAGTAGTGAAGGGGAAACTCACAAGATGGAGGGTGCCCAGGGTGTGAGGAATGGGGGAATGGATTGAGACTGGCAGTTCCAAGAGTCTATGAGGAGCTGACCTGGGTTTGGATCAGCAAGGAGGAGACACAAGAGATTTCACCAAACCAAACTCCACCCCTCCCTCACAGTCCCCTTTGGGAGTTCCTCTTGGCTGTAGTTTCTCAAGTCAAAACCAGTCTCTTTGGAAAAGAGCTACATCAGAATAACAGAGTTGGAAGGGACCTTGGAGGTCTGCTAGTCAAACCTACTGCTCAAGCAGGAGACCCTATTCCACTGTGGACAAGTGGCTGTCCAATCTCTTCTTAAAAACCTCCAGCAATGAAGCACTCATAGCTTCTGAAGTCAAAGCTGTTCCTCTGATCAATTTTTCTCACTGTCAGGAAATTTCTCCTTATTTCTAGGTTGGTTATTTATTTATTTATTTATTTATTTATTTATTTATTTATTTATTTATTTATTTATTTATTTTTATCTGTCAAACACGTATAAGATAACAGATATAAGTATAAACATGATTATGAATACAGGATAAGGATACAAATAAATGGGGACAGTAGGACAGGGATAGTAGGCACGCTGGTGCCCTTACGCACGCCCCTTACAGACCTCTTAGAAATGGGGTGAGGTCACCAGTAGACAGTCTAAGGTTAAAGTTTTGGGGGTTTGGGGAAGAAACCACAGAGTCAGCTAGTGCATTCCAGGCATTGACCACTCTGTTGCTGAAGTTGTATTTTCTGCAATCGAGTTTGGAGCAGTTTACCTTAAGTTTGTATCTATTATGTGCTCATGTATTATTGCGGTTGAAGCAGATAATTTTGTGTACTCCGCTTAAGTCAGACCTTGATTAGTTTCCATCAATGTCCTTTTCTTCCTCCTTAGGAATCCCACTGGGTTAGCAGCCAGCAAGGATGAGTGGGCACTCTATAATGCCACAGAGCAGAATTTCTTCCTTCTTAATACTGAGCCATTCCAGGAAAGGGTGATAGAGCACTGTGATTTTTTAAAGAGCCTTTTTTCAAAGACTGAAGAGACACGTAAGTTCAGCTATTAGTTCTGCCTTTGGAAGGGAGTAGTGGTTGATGAAAAAGATGTTTTTAAAAATCATTTATATATCAAATATAGAGATCACCCACCTCATTCATAGAGCAATTTCTAAAAATTGATTTTATTGCCACTCTTTGCTGAAACATATTCATTTGATTTTACACTGGGCAATTTTGTAATGCTAGTGATAAATTTTGTAGAGCAAGCATATTTCATGACGTCCCAAAACTTGGGACTCTAGTAATGTCCTCTAAGTAAGCCTTAGTTGCTCACATAAAGATAACAACAACAATAATAACAACAACAATAATGAATCCCAAAACATCTGGATCACCTCTTGACTACGATCGGCATTGACAAAATCCCTCTTGGTAAATTGCAAAAGGCAGCTTTATTTGGAACAGATTGCATCCTGCAATGATAACTTTAATACCATCAAAAAATATCTGTCCATTCCAGTTTTTTGGGAAGAACTGAGTATGTGGACAAAAATGTCAAATCCGGTCTAAACATCTGGCTGACCATGTGATGAACAATAATGTTTTGATAAATATATCAAATAATATATTATATATATATATATATATATATATTTGTTGCAATATTTTGAGGATCAGACTCAATAAATAATTCAGGAACAAAGTATTCAAACAAAGTACTATTTATTTACAATAGGCATTCTATATTCTCTGAATGATCACAGATAGAAGCTAGTGGGAGGTCCATACGTCCCCTTTTATATCAGTGAGGCAGAGTAATGGATGGGAGTGGTTACATATGAATACATTAAGAAGGAGATATAAATTAACCCCTGATATTCTGTGAATATACATTTCCATCATTTGAGAATAAGGCATTTACTTGTGACAATATTTAATATATCAAATAATATATTAGAAATTTAATAAATATATGTTATGCCATGAATCATGGAATCCTCAGAATCCTACTTCTAGATTCAGATTCTTTAGTGATAAGACGTACACCTTATATTGATATTTCATTTTTCTTTGTTCTGCAGACAAGTCCGAAGGTGATTCTGTTTCATCGGACTAGGAAGAAGACAGCAGGTAGGAATTCAGGGCTTGGTTATAGTAACAGCGTTCAAATAGGATCAAGTAGGAATACTCAGATCCAACTTATTTTGAGCTGTTAACTTTGACTTGACTTTAATAAAAGTGTCCCTTTTGCTACAAATGGATTCGAGGGTCTTTCTTTCCTAAACATCCAAGTTGGGGCAAGCCTGACAGCATCCTTTTCTCTGCAAAAGTTCCTCCCACTATTTTCTCAAGGGAGTTTCTCCAGTGCACATAAACAAAAACAGTAAATACTTCAGCAAACCTTGATTCCATGCTTTGGGTCCTGCATTTTGATTCCACAAACCCCTCCATGTTTAGTATAAGGGGAATACAGAGCACCTTAGTTGGACTTTTAAGGTTAAGATTTAAGGCACAAGGCTAGATATCAGGAGACTGTGAGTTCCAGTCCTACCTTAGCCATGAAAGCCAGAAAGGTAGAATTAGAACTCACAGTCTGATAACGTTTAACTCTGGTGCCTTAATCTCAAAAACCCATCTAAGGTATTCTGTGTTCCCCCTATACTAAATCCGCTGACTTTAGACTAATCACTCTCTCTCAGCCCAACTCACCTCACCTCACAGGGTTGTTGTTTTGGAGAAAATAGGAGGAGAATGGAGTGTGGGATATGTTCTCCACCTTGGGTAATTTGTAAAAATAATAAAGGCGAGATACATATAATAAACAAAAATAAATAAAATTCTCTTATTCTACCTTACTACACAGAAGAGCATCCTGGAATCTTTGCTTTGCCTGTGTCTTGAACTGGCCTACTACAAAGGCTGCCACTTAGGTTGAACCTCTTTGAAAATGGCATCCATATCTCAAAGGCACCATTTGAAAACCTAGCTACATTTTTGGTGGCTTCAGAATAACAGATGTGTGTTTATTTCTCTCAGGAATCAATCAAGACTTCTCTTTAAAGCCTGGGCAAATGATGACAAGCTGCACCAGAGAATCTTCCAGAAGCATCCATTGTCCTTTCAGAGACTGACTGGTGGGAACTTGGGAGACAAATAAGGAAACAACTAAAACCCACATCACTTTTGCTGTTAAAATAATAAATTGCTAGGAGTAATTTGTTACATCTTGATTTGAGACAGGCTTTTAATTAATCCAGCTCCCTCAATAAAGAACCTCTTAATAAATACTGTTTGAATTCTTAGGATAAAAATCCCTTTATTTTCACAACAATGTCAGAACTTGACGCAATATGAAAAAACAAATAAAGGAAACAAGAATTCTGCCAAATTTTGCTATAACCTAATGACTCACATATCTTTTTCTTAGAGCTGAGATCCTTAAATGTAATAAACGGACAGGTTTATTCCATCAAAGATAACATATCAAACCAGTTTTGTCTTTTCCAGTTTCCAGTTGTAGAAAGTTAGCACCCACCCCTCTCTTAGAAGAATGAAAGATTTTAGGAAATATTAAAAAGGCAGAATATTATATTTCCCTGGATGAGAAATGGAGAAACAATTCTCTTGGAAAGCAGCCCCCACCTTTCTTAATAGCAAACAGCAGATGTCAGCACTTAAGAGATAAAGAGATACCTAGTAGCTCTATTCATAAGCAAATTCCCTACAGCAAAGTCTGAACAAAGGTAGGATTATCCCTCAGCCATAATGGGAATTCCCCAACAAGCCCCTTCATTGTATCAACCAAACTATAACCATGCTTAGCTCAGACAAACTCCTAGGATTTGTCCATGGCCTCATGGGAGTCTGACAAAAGCCAATAGAATACATGTTCTTGAACAGGAATAGGAAGTTCAAGTGCAAAGCCCAAGAGAAGGTATAAATACCCCCACTCTCAACTCCATGTGGTCAGCTGCCCAGAACAATATGCTTGATAGTTCTGCTTCATCAATAAATGGACTCTCTTTCCGATCAGCCTCCAGCCTCCATTTTGTCTCCAGTGCCTTTCTCCCAACTTGGAACTGAATCAAATGGATATTTCTTCCAACACAGTATTCTGTTTACTTAAATAAAGGATTATCATTATCACTATCACCAACATATTTTCTTCAGCCAACATATATACAAAAATTTGGTTAATCTAGTTGAAAAAAAACTTTTGAAATTGGATTTTATTATATTAAATGTGTTAAAGACTTATTGTATTTCACCTATATCCCTCCTTTCCTTTCCTTGAATATGTCTACAGGGTTTTTGCATATCAATGGAATTTAAAAAGTACAAATAGTCCTTGACTTAGCAACCATTTGTTTAGTGACTGTTCAAAGATATAACGGCGCTGAAAAAATGACTTATCACTGTTTTTCACCCTTATGACCATTGCAGCATCCCCATGGCCATGTGATCAGAATTTGAGTGCTTGGCAATTGGCATGTCCACCTGGGAGAAGGGCAGTATATAAATTTGATATAAAATAAAAAATAAAATAAAAATATCTCAGGGGTTGCCAAAGAAGAGGGAATCAAGCTATACTCCAAAGCACCTGAGGGCAAGACAAGACGCAATGGATGGAAACTAATCAAGGAGAGAAGCAACCTAGAACTAAGGAGAAATTTCCTGACACTTAGAACAATTAATCAGTGGAACAACTTGCCTCCAGAAGTTGTGAATGCTCCAACACTGGATGTTTTTAAGAAGAGATTGGACAACCATTTGTTGAAATGGTATAGGGTCTCCTGCCTGAACAAAGTGTCGGGGATCCAAGTAACAAACCCAATGCAATCAAAACTCTGACGCCTGGAGGCTCCTCAAAGTAAGAATTTATTAGGAATGTCATATTGGCACATCTGGGGAAAACCCGACTCTGAAGGACCCGAGGTTTTCCCCACCCAAATCAAAATCCAAAGTTCTTGCCCCCAGGTCATACGTCCATCACATGGTCCAATCAGACCACGGACGGTCCCCACTCTGGCTGCCTTTAGTCCATGTCTTCCAAACACCTGCTGAAGATGTCCTTGGCTCCCACAGGAAAGAATGTTATTTTGGCTACATAGCTACATATTCCCCCAGCTATCTCTATTTCCCCCCTCTGGTTCCCACAGCTCCGACCAGCCTCACTGTGGCAGCCCTGAAGATGCTCCCAAAATGGCTTCAGGACTGACACAGTGGATTGGTTCAGAAGACCTCCAAGGTCCCTTCCAACTCTCTTTATTCTATTCTATTCTATTCTATTCTATTCTATTCTATTCTATTCTATTCTATTCTATTTTCTATTCTATTCTATTCTATTCTATTCTATTCTATTTTCTATTCTATTCTATTCAAAAACTCTGGTGCCTTGGAGAATGAATCAATCCCCTTTTCTTTGTGACAGCTCCTCAAGTATTGGAAGATAGCTATCATGTCCCCTGTAATCCTACTTTTTAATAGGCCAGCCACTAGACCTACTTAGCTCCCACAATTGTTCATGATACCTGCTGAGTGCAGTTGGTCAGCCAATTGCAAATCTATCTGGTGGTGATGCTGTCTGTCCTACATTTTTAGAATCATCCAATTTAGGGTCACCTCAGGTTTCGGTTATTTCCTTTCAGGTTCTTTAGTTGCTTTGAAATATGGACAGATGTTGTAATGGCTCTTTTCAAGGCTGCAGGTTGCATACCAGAGATAGTGACTGTCCTTTGCTCTAGAGTTCTCTCACCCCATTTGAAGGACGTTCTCTGCTTTTCCATTTCTTTGATATTGGAGCCTTTTGCCAATACTTGCAACTTCCTCCCCCTTTGTGGACAGAATCCAGTTGGTCAATGTACCTTCCTGCAATATATAAAGTTGCTCTTTTCATGATCATTTTTTTTGTGTGAGCAGGATACAGCCTGGTCATCTCGGAAGCTGCTTTCTTCTTTTGAATAACAAATAGTCCCGTTAAATCTGACAAGTGAGTAAGTCTGCAGAATTTTTTTTTAAAAACAGTTTTTTTTTTTCAGAAAAGGGACTAGAATTTCTTGTTTTTTTCAAGCTGGTTAATTCTATTCAGGCTAGTTAGTTCTATTCCAGGCTAAAGAGACAACAATTTCTTCAGCCATAGTAGGAAATGCCAGCTAGAGTTTGAGACACAGAGAACAAGAGTGGGAAAGAAAAGCAGTGAAGATAAAGCCCATACTGGGCTGCCATTTCTTCTAGGTTCAGATATATGCTTGCAAATTTCCACCATCATTAACTAGTAATAAGACCCATTAAAAATCAGTGGGATATTTTTCTAGGTAGTTGCTGATAGAATTGCATTTCCTAAAGCACTTGTGCAATTGTACTGGATACATCACGGGAGGTATTTATTTCTACTTTGCTTTACTTTGCTCTAATATTGCTGGCTGTACAGCTGACAATTTGTTCAGTTTTGGAATTTTGCTCCTCGAGGACAAATAATGTTAGGCCTTCTTCAGGAAACCTACAGAAATGTTTGTTAGGCAGCCTAGAGTGCCTGCTGAGGAAAGCATGTGTGGATGGGAAAATGTTAAGGTTAGGGCAGAGTTCCTCAACCTTTTCAGTTGCGGATCGCCAGCTGTGTGTGTAGAGGGTAGCAATCCGTGTGTGCGGTAGGCATACACGAATGCTGCTCGCTTGAGTGCCACCTCCATGGCCCGGTTCGAAAGGCTCAAGGTAGTGGGTCACAGCCCAGGGGTTGGGCACCTCTGGATTGGGGAATGTAGCTGTTCTAAAAAAATATTTCTGAGGCTAGCCTTTGTGTGAAAGAAAATAGGAAATCCCATGGTGATTAGAAAACCTGAGTTACTGGGTTCAGAGGAGAAGTTGAAAGTGTGCTCTTTATCTTTTCAGTTGTACCTGACTTTTTATAACATTATTTCTCAACCTTGGTGACTTTAAGATGTGTGGACTTCAACTCGCAGAATTCTGGGAGTTGAAGTCCACACAACATAAAGTTGCTAAGACTGAGAAATATTGCTTTATAACCTTTATAGATTAGCACTCTCCATTTTATTTCTGATGCTTCACAACTTTGTTTAATGTTTCTAGGTTTTTGCTGGTCTCTTTTATAAGTGTATCCAATCATTCTTAGCATAACTGTTTTTTCCTAAAGAATTTTATTGCACAACATAACCAAAAGTGGGCAGGTTTACCTTCATAATTCTAGGTTTCAGTTTGACAGGGCCTCAAATCTCCTGAGTTGTTATTTTTGCCCTCCAAGATGTGCGCATTAGTGGTTTCCAGTCCAATAATTTGCAAGAGTCCAATTTTCTTCTGTCTGCCTTCTTTTTAAGTGTTGGATGCTTGGCAACTGGCATGTAGTTATGACGGTTGCAGTGTCCCAGGGTTATGTGATCACCTTTTGCAACCTTCTGACAAGCAAAGTCAATGGGGAAGCCAGATTCACTCAACAATCATTTAATTAAGTTAACAACTGCAGTGATTCACTTAAGAACTGTAGCAAGAAAGGTCATAAAATGGGGCAAAACTCATTTAACAATTGTCTTGCTTAGTAGTGGAAATTTTGGAGTTAATTATGGGTCATAAGTTGAGGACTCCCTGTACTGTGGGCAAATTTATGAGGGGAAATATCCAAAGTTTATTCATTTTCAGTGGTTTGACCAAGTCTGGCAAGAAAAGGGAATCTCAGACAAATCAAAGTTAGCATTTATGTATGAAGGGACTATAGCAGGGGTGAAATGCTCCTGGTTCGGACCGGATCGCCTGATCCAATAGCGATAGAGGCGGGTGGTTCGGAGAACCGGTAGCAAAAATCCCTGCCACCCCCCCCCCATGCCCAGCTGAGCTGTGCAATCATCAGAGGCTTTTTTAAAATTATTTTTAAAAGCATTTTTTCTACAACCTCTTTGGTCGAAAAAATGCTTTTAAAAGTTAAAAAAAAAAGCCTCTGATGGTCACACAGCTCAGCTAGGATCGTCAGAGCCTTTTAAAAGCATTTTTTTTACAACCTCTTCAGCCAAAGAGGTTGTAGAAAAAATGGTTTTAAAAGTAAAAAAAAAAAAAGTTGGCCATGCACACCCAATCACATTACCCCCACCATCACAGCACAGAACCGGTAGTAACAAATTTTAGATTTCACCACTGGACTACAGTACTGTGGAAATTATTTCACTTATTTTTATTGATGGATGTATGCCACCCAGAGTCACTTTTTGTGAGATGGGTGGCCTTTTAAAGGTGAGAAATAAAAATAAAATTTCTTTATTAACAGATTTATATGGCCATCCATCTCACTGAACATGATGTGTACAACACAGCTATTAAAAGCTTAAGAAATAAATAAAAGCCACCTGATGGGAGAAAAATCTAAACACAATATAACCATTACTCAAGGCTCCCAAGGTTGTTGGGAAAACCACATTTTCAAGGCCCTCTGAAAGGCTAACAGGGTTTTGGGAATGTTTACAACTGAACAACTTCAGTTTTATGGCTCAGTAAAAAAAAAAAAAATCTGGAAATTTCTTCAGATTAGGAAAACTAAAGAATACTGCCCAAAACTATGATGGTCTACAATTAGGCTGGTCCCAGATGAAAAATCACATCTCATACCGAACTAAAAAAAAAAAAGGATGTGTGTTTGTGAGAGAGATGCAACTGTACATTTGTTGATTTAAAACAGGATTGGAGCAATAAAAATGTTGATTTCAGGTCATTTTACATTGTTATTTATTTCAGTTAAATCTTAGCCATTATCTACTAGATAGGGATTGGTACACTAAGTTCCAGAACGGGATTTTGAAATAAATTAGAGAGATATAATATCCATAACAAAAATAATATATAACAAAATTGTATTGGGAACCCTGGAGAAATTCTACTAGCAATTCTGTGTCAAAACTGTCCATTCGCTGAGCAAAGGGATTGGTAACCCTGAGTTCTAAGTGGTTCTTCTGGAACCTTGGAGACACATCATGGAGAAGGGCAAAGGTGACTAACTCAGTGCCTGCTCACCATTGGTGTCCTCAGCAA